CCATACTACAAAAGCAATCTACATGTTTAATGCAATTCTCATCAAATCCCAATGACATTCATCACAGAGATTGAAAAATCTACCCTAAAATTCATTTGGAAACACAAGAAAGACCGCGAATAGCCAAGGCAATATTCAGCAAAAAGAACAATGCTGGAGGTATCACAATACCCGACTTCAAACTATATTACAAAGCCATAGCAATAAAAACAGCATGGTACTGGCACAAAAACAGACATAGAGACCAGTGGAACAGAATAGAGGACCCCGATATGAATCCACACAGATATGCCCACCTTAATTTATTTACTTAATTTATTTAATTTATATTAAAATATTGTGAATAGTGCTGCAATGAATGTGGTGTTCATAATATCACTTTGATTTTAATTGTTTTCTTTTTTTTTATTGTGCTGGGGATACAATGTGACATTTACAAAAGTTGTTACAGTATATCATACTTGAATTCACTCCTTCCATCATTCTCCTTTATCCCCCCCACTCCCATTACTGGAATAGTTTTCATTTTTCCATTTACATACATGTGTACACAGTATTTGCACCCCATTCACTCTCCTATACACTTTTCCCAGATTCTCTTCCTTCCCACTTGCACCAATGTCCACCCCCCACCCCAGGCAGGACCTGTTCCACCCTCCTGCTCTCAGATTTTGTAAAAGAAAAAAATGACAGTTTCTTAAAGATGGCTATACACAAGTTTCCTCGTTGTATTTCCATGTATACATGTATTATAACCTGAATTGATTATTTTCTTCTTTCTAGTTTAGTTCCCTTCTTATGGTGGTTCAACAGATTTAAAAATTCTATATTTATTCTTGTATATAGAGTACATCAACCTTACTAACCTTCTTAATGTCCTTCTTTTACCCTCCTCCTTTGTGTGACCTCCCCTTACTGTGACCTATTGATTTAAATTCTTTTAGTTAAATACTCAGTAGTAATTAACTGCTGGATTGTACCATTTATCCTTTGTAAATTTATAAGAATTATAAATTCTTCTCAGGGAAGGACCACTTTTGTTCTCCCTAAAGGGAGAATATGATAGAGAAAAACAAAGTGTTAGTGTTTTTTTATCAAAGTTGAAATTACATTAAACACTGATTATAGCAGTGGGAATAAACACTTATTCCATCAGTCTGTTAATTAATAAATATCTCATGAACACATACTCATTGTTGAGTACACAAAGGTGACCTGTTCAGATATAACTCTTTCAAGTTCACTGTTATGGAACAAAAATTACACATAAGCAATAGAATGCAAATGTTCTAAGTATTAGCTGTAATATTTGTGTATGCCTTGAGAGAAGATCAGTGACTTCCATGAGAAAACTTATTTTTTCTTCTTAATTCTTTTAACTAAAAAGAAGCCAGGTATATTATGGGTTCCTTACAAATTCTAAGTGTGGACATATTTACAATCATTCATATTTTGAATTTATGTAGTATATCATCTGATTTTAAAGGCGTGTACATCAGGGTTTTTTCTTAACACCAGAATGATGGCTTTGCATTCAGTTCTACTCCCAATATTCAAGATAAAATTGATTAATAATGCACAATCTTATGATGTCAAGCTGTTGTATTTTCTTCATTCCATGGGCAGCAGTAACACTTCTCAGTTAACGTAGGATGCAGGATGCATCTCCAAAAAAAATGATTGCTGAAGCAATCATTGCATCTATTTGTTTTTTCATTGGATCATCTGTGTGAATCCCTAGACATCTTCATCTTTCCCTCTGTGTAAAGTTTTCAGTGGAAAATTGACTAATGAGCATACTATTTGTCTTCCTTTCCCTCTGGAATCTTTCTTTGGGAATTTGTTTCATGTGTTCAGAGACTAGGGCCAAAAAAGCAAATACTTTTCAATGTGAGAGTCTACAGGGACCTCAGACACTTAAAACTCTTGACCTTGGTTCATGCAGGAACCTTAGTGGTGGGTCTTAGCAGATCTCTCTGCATAGTTGTTACACCAGATATTTTGCTTCTTCTATGTGCAAATGTAAGTTCTAAGTATCTTTGAATTTTTTCAGTTCAAATTAGACTTAAGACTAAAATGATGTATTTTCTTACCAGGTAACCTAAATACCTTTTTGCAGATTGCTAAGGGGAACAGATGATGATAGAGCATAATAATATCTGATAACCTTATTCATAAATTAGACTGTTGGAGCACATATGCAGAGGCAAGAGTAATTATGAGAGGGGAATACTTCACCACAGATTTGGTCATCCTTAAAACTTGCAGACATTTTAGGTGAAACTCTACAACATTCAGGACATTTAAGTTTCTGAAACATATATGATTCTGTATTTTCAAATAATGTGTAAAACATTACTTACAGCAAATAATTTTTTCCTTTTCCTGATTTTTGTATCATCCAGGGTGAAAAGCCTTAGTGCCAATGGTCAGTCGTTTTCTTGTCAAATTTCTGAAACCTATGGAGGAATTCAGTTTTTATCCCAAACGTGGCACATGTTGAGACAAGGTTAAGACAAATAATAAAGGCTAGAGGAGAGTGAAGCTCTGTGGTGGAGTGCTTGCCTATTGTGTAAAAGGACCTGACTTTTATAAACAGAAGTGAAAATAAAAAGTCAATCAACACACTTTAGAACAATGGAATATGATCTTGAAATCATTAAGAAGTAATTTACATTAACTTTTCTTAATAAAATTATGATACTTTTGGAAGTGAAATGAGACAGTAAAATGATTAACATTGTAATTTTTTTTCAAATTTAAGTTATTGAAATTTTTTATATTGTTAGGACTAATAAATATTCCTACTGAGGAACTAATTTGAAACAATTCTAAAAAGATTAAAATTGGTTTTATCAGAGACAATTACAAAGGCAAACAAGATTCTGATGAACAAAACATGAGAACAAGGGAGTTTTTCCACAGAAATGTTATTTCAGAGACATGTACTTACAGAAATGAAAGACATACTTGACTCTGGTGTCAGTCATATTTCAGTAGAGGAAAGAATTAACAATAGGTATTAATATTAAATAGATGCATATATTCCCATTCCCAAATCTAGTTTCAGAAATTCTTAGTGAAAAGGCTACAATTATTGTTATTGATAATGTTCTTGACTATTGTTAAAATAAGGATAAGCTTATGAAATGCATTGTGTGTCAAAGTGAGCAATGCTGTGAGTTGTTTTATGTGAAATTACCTAACAAGAAACAGTTTTCATCAATGCAGTGTTGTCACAACATTTTCCAGTGTAAGCTAACATGCTTGTGTTAACATAAGCTAACCTGCTTATATGAGTACCGTTCACTTGCAGACAGTAGGAGATAACAGATGGGTAAGAGCTGGCACAACACAACAGCCCATCTCATCAGATTCATATGTGATGTGTTGAACTTAAATATATTTTGTTCTGTTAATGTATAGCTAGATATCATGTGTTGTAGATTTTCCTCAAGTGTTCATCTTTATTTATACTTGGCCGATTATGTTTGTACATATTTATAAGGTATACTATGAAAAGATACACAGTACAGTGCATAATGATCAAATTAGCAAAAATATCATCTTACTCTCCTCAATTATATATTGTTACTTTGTGCTGGGATTCTTTGGTTTCTTTTAATTATTTTGAAGTATATCTTAGTTTTTCAATATGCAAAAATATAATTCAGCCACTAGGTGTATTTCAACTGTAAAAGCACTCAGCAATATGGAATGAATTTCAGAAATTGAAGTTAGAAACAGCACTAAAATTATTTTAAGCAAGATTCTACATTAACTGTTGAGAAAATCAATTGTGGATGCAAACTTATACACATATGAGTTATACTATGTAATTTTCAAAATATAAGAATGTAAGTACTTGTTTAAAAACCACATAAAATGAGCTGACCAAATCAGTTAACAAAATAAATGCATAAAATAACACTAAAGAAAATGGCAAACCCATGAAGTTTAGGCAATATCACACTATACAGATCCCTCAAGTGAGTTTACTTCATCAAGCACCAGTTGTCTTATCAGACATGAAAATAAGTATGTACATATTTCAGCGCACTCCTTCAGAAGAACAAGGATAAGTACAGCAGAAATTCTTCACTAAATTGTGAGCACTGGCTATGGCCTGTACATTATTCTGTACTGTACAAAGCAGTAAATCTTACAAATGGTGGCACATGCATGTAAACTCAGCACTCAGTAGGGAGAAGCAGGAGGATAGCGACTTCCAGGACAGCATGGGATATATGGCAGGAATATCTCAAACAAAAGATTATAAACAATAAAAAATTTAAAATTAAAACAGGTCTCAAGCAATTTAAAGGGAACTTGAAAAAGCTGGAATGGAATGGGCAGGAAGAGCTGTTAGGAGAAGATGAAAAGTGCATGAGTAAGCAGACTTTATAACAATATGGCAGGACTGACAGAAATGAAATGTGATCAAGAAAAGAGGACTGAGAGTTTCAGCAAAACACTAAGAAGGGTAAGTATTGAGGTGTCAGACTGCTTATAGACATCTGAAGAAAATCGTGTGGCAGAAATTGATAAGGAAAAGTCCAGGTTACAGACAATCTTTCCCACAGAAATATTGAAATTCCTCAGGATGACTGAGGACAGGAATGAGACGCAGAGAAGGTTAAATGGAAGTCACACTGGTGATTAAAAGCTTGTTTCCTTTATCACTGGAAGCACAATGTGTGTGTACACATATAAACACACTAAAAATTTTCTGCTATATAATTCATATATTCATAACAAGATTAAAACATGAATAGTGAATTAAATACAATATCCTTTGCAAATTATCCAACAGTGAATATATAAATTTTCAAAGCATTTCTAAGGAACAGAATTTATTTCTGAGGTTTATGAACAATTTGGAGAATATTAAGAATTGAAGTTCAGTTTGACAAATCAGGTAACATTTAATGACAGCACACAAAAGAGAAAGTAATTTTTTCTTCTGTTATCATTTCCCCTTTAAAAGATGAATAAAACAAATGACCACTAGGAATCTCACCTGGGTGACTGAATTCATTCTCATGGGAGTCTCAGACCTTCCAGAGTTGCAGATTCCCCTCTTCCTTGTCTTCCTGGTCATCTATGTGCTCACCGTGGCAGAGAACCTGGGCATCATCACCCTCACCAGTGTCAACTCAAAACTCCAAACCCCCATGTACTACTTCCTCCGACACATGGCCATCATCAACCTTGGCACCTCCACCATCATTACCCCTAAAATGCTGGTCAACTTGTTAGTAAGAAAACCACCTCATACTATGAATGTGCCACCCAACTGGGGGGATTCCTGTTTTTTGTAGTAGCCGAGATCTTCATGTTGGCTGTGATGGCCTATGATTGCTATGTGGCCATTTGCAATCCCCTGCTGTACATGGTGGTGGTGTCTCTGAGGATGTGCTTTCTGCTGGTGTCCCTCACATACCTGTATGGCCTGTTCACAGCTATAGTAGTTACCCCATGTGTATTCTCTGTATCTTGTTGTTCTTCCAATGTCATCCACCATTTTTATTGTGATAATATTCCCTTGTTAGCATTGTCCTGCTCTGATACACAAATGCCAGAAACAGTAGTGTTTATCTTCTCTGGAAAAAACTTGGTTTTTTCCATGATCATTGTCCTAGTATCCTACTTCAATATTACCCTTGCCATTTTGAGGATACGTTCAGCAGAAGGAAGGAAAAAAGCCTTTTCTACCTGTGATTCTCATATGATGCCTGTCACTGTGTTCTGTGGCACTCTCCTTTCCATGTATTTGCAACCAAGGACAAATCACTCATTAGACACTGACAAAATGGCTTCCATCTTCTACACGGTAGTGATACCAGTGCTAAACCCTGTAATTTATAGCTTAAGGAACAAGAATGTGAAGGATGCTTTCAAGGGATTCCTGAATAATCCATGCCAAGCATTTAAACAAATGTAAATTTAAAATTTCAAGTAACTTTGCAAAAGGGATTTTGCTCCCTCTTAAAAAATACTGTTCTTAAAAGAATTGGCAATAAATGGTGAGAAAATCATTAATTTCAGTAGGAAGAAAGTCAATTTTTATCCCAACCAACCTTACCTATTCAAATAAGAAAAGAACATATGTAAATAATAAATTATGAGAGGCACATTTCATAAGTAAACTGTAAGATACTAAAGGATTCTTATGATTGCTAATCAAATACTAGAAATCTTAATAGCAGGTGGTACAGAACTGTGAGTCTCCTTTTTGGAAAGGTGTCAAGACTCAGATTCTCCTTGCAGAAGATATGCTTTGTTCAACTATTAGAGATAGTATTTTAATATTTATAGCATTTCATCCATCAAGGTCTGAATTTTAAAAACCATCTTTCTCTTGCCCTTAAAGATAAATGTGTATGACAGAAAAAATACTTTTTAGTAAAATGATAAACACTGCACAAAAGATGTTAAATTCATATGGAAATAGATCATGTGGAAAATAGTCTAAAATAAAGAGAAAAATATTTTCTTTTTTTAATATCTCTCAATTGGGATATGCAAACAAAGCAATGTGTCAATTTTCAGGCAAAACCTATAATTAATGTTTTTCTTTTTATTAACATATATTAATTGTGTAAAGCTGTTTCATTGTTATATTTCCACACATGTACATACCATACTTTGATTGAATCCCAAAGCACACCTTTGCTCTTTCTTGTGCATAGTGACTCCTTTTTAAAGCATTTCGAATGGGCTTCATTATTCCACCTTCACACATGCATCTAAAATACTTCAGTCCTAGTTTTCCCCCATTACCCTATCCTTTCACTCTCCAATTGAATAATTTTTGCCCCTTCTATTAACACTGTGTAGAGATACTTGTCTTTGTCACGAAACCTTACATATTAGTTTTTTTTTAGTATTTTTGTTTAATGCAGCATATTCTCTGTACCATTCCAGGTGAAACAACAGTTTATGCCTATGTTGCCTATGTGCCAAATCTGTATATAGTGGAACAAGTAAGAAAATGACAGGCTTAAGGAAATGGTGGCTTCTTTAGAAAAAATTTATTGTCAAAGAGGTCATCAATAAACCAAATCCAGGATTATGAAGCTCACTTCAATGAGTCAGTGTCTACTTTTGTCTAAAATGAGCAGAACATGTAAAAGCAAAATATCACAAATTGATCCTGGTCTCACAAGCTCTCAATGGCTACAATTTATACTTACATATATGTATATAAAAGCATTTTATAGAGATTTCCCTCATCCATCTCAGTCTAGCTCTACTTGCAGACCCACATCCCTGACTTTCTTCTCTTTATCTACTGCTAAATCTCTTCTCACATTCATCCTGCTTGCTACCACTTTGCTTTGTGATTATGTTTAACAAACACAAGTCATTTTGAGAGCATTTAATATCAACTTCTTTAACATAGTCACATCAGCAGATTTCTTTTCTATGCAAAATAACATTGTGATACTTGAACTTGGTTGTCAGCCTCATTGTACTGAGGGATGCTCAGGAGATTAGTAAAGCACAATTCTCTTTTGTCCTTAAGGGTGTTTCCAGAAGATAAATGACAGCTAGAATAGCAGCTAAAGGGGAAAGCATCTTTCTGAATGTGGGAGTCACCCACCATTCAACAGGTTGGAAGGTTCAGTTACAGCAAAAATACAAAAATATAAAGACAGAAATTGCTTAGCAGCATTATTTTTTTTGAAAAAATGCAAACATGGTGTCAATACCAATGAAATTCAGACTCCACCTTGTTCACCCTTTAACAAGAGAGACACCATCAACTCTCCAGTAGTTTCCAGCTTTTCAAGCTCTGACTGGGGCTGCATCATTGTTCCCCCTGGTTCTGAGGCCTCCAGCTTTTTGGACTGCACAACTACCAGGTTCTCTGGCTCTGCATCAGGCAGACAGCCATTGTTGTATTATCGGTATTCAAACCTTGTACTCAAAACTTACAACACAACTAAGCCAATCTAAATAATCTACTTTATAATTATATATATTTATTATATGTATCATGTATAATATATGTCATCCATAAATTTCTATGTCATTTTGGTTTGTTCCTCAAGAGAATCCTGAATTATACAGATATTTGTACCAGAGAGAGGGTATTGCTGTGATTACCAAACCATGTGTTTCAGAATATTTGGAAATGGTTTGAAGGAGTTTGGAAATGTTTGGACAAATGTGCTAGAAAAAACAGAATATTACAAACAAAGTTTAAAGGATGATTCTCATAGAAGTTCAGAACACCAGAGTGTGGTGCATGAAGATGTGAGAGTGAACCTGAAGCTGGATAAAATAGGAAGTTGAAGATGCCAGGAACAGGGAGTATATACAGAGGCAAACCCAGGCAGTGTGTAGAAATAGCCCCGAGAGAAAGACTACGTGAACTGCTGTTAGCAAGGCCATAGGTGACAGGCTGCCCGTGCTCTTTGAAACTAACATCACACCACATTGTGACCAGGATGTCAGGCACGGAACCATGGAAGTGCAGGATTTAATATATGCTCTGTTCTTGGTTTCAATCTTACTCTGATTCCAGTCCTCCTTTTTTTCCCCCATTTCTTCATTTTGGGACTGGAACATTTTATTCTCTTCCAATTTTTTGTTGATATTGTATAACTTGTGCCATAAAAATTTCAGGGACTTACAGCTAAGGTTTTGACTCTAGCTTTAAAAGACATTGGGCTTAGACTTTGGATACCTGCTGGGACTGATGAGATTTTGGAGATTTTTGGAGATGGATTGGTTGAATTTCCATTATGAAATGGACACGAGCCTGTGTAGGCAGGGAAATATTATGTTTTGAATAAGACACTGCCCACAACAGGTTGAAGGCTTGGTCCCCAGTGATAGCACTGTTATGGGAGTTCCTAGAGACTCTTAGAAGTAGTACATAGCATGAGGAAGTAGGATGCTAGGGGAAAAGACACAGAGGTATCTTGTCCCTTACCATTTCCTGTCTCTCCTTCCGTTTTTTGTCAACCAAGAGGTGAGCTGCTTTACCAGTACACACTCTTGCTGACATGATGTTCTGTTCACCTCAGGCCTAAAATAATAGCACCAAATGTCCATTGAATTAAATATCAGAAACCATGAACCAAAGTTAAGTCCTTCCTCCTTTAAATTATTCCTCTCAGTTATTTGATACATTTGACTGAAAACTAAGTAATATAAACATGTTTATGGATTCAGCAAGTCAGGACACTGACATTCTGGTGGGAGAATTTTTCTGCCTACCACATTTCTTTTGGCTCATGTTATAAAACTGGCCCAATCTAAAATCTTATACCAATCTCATTCATTAATGACAAATTCTATACTCTCACAAGAATTCCACATATAGCATACCATTTCTCCATTCTTTAGCTATAAAATTTATCTAAGTCTTTCACACAGTGCTCTCTTTTAATTAAATATAAAAGTCAATTTTCTAAAGGTTCTGAAAGATGCATGAACATAAACAAACCCTCACACACATCTTTTTATCAAATGAGATGAATCAGACTCTAGCAACCAGGCAGGCATAACTCACAAGCAAAGTTTTTTTTTTCTTTTACTCATACATGCATACAATGTTTGGATCATTTTTCCAATGTTTGGATCATTTTTCCTCCCTTCTTCCACCCTCTCCCTTACTTCCTCCTGCCCCTAAAGTTTTTAAAGAAGCAAGATAGGAAAATTTTTGGTGGCTCTAGTCTATTGTTCAAGGTGAGGTCACTCCCTAATTTATGTTAACACCTGGGATGTTACATGGCATCTTGTATCTGAGCAATAACAGCAAAGTGTTGTTAGGGACTAGGGAAGACAGGAGACACTGTACAGAGTCACAGGGAAGGGCACTGTATGAGACTACCTGTGAAAGTTAGGAATGACCTGGAAAAATTCACAAGGCTTTCATCCAGAATCAGCAGAAGAAGCTTTAACTCTGTCTCAACATCATAACATAAAGATGTCCTGGAAAGAACACATTATAGAAGTATAAATCTTTCATGGTGAACACATTCAATCCTTTGAGGTATTTGAGTATATGACAAAGCATTCGAATTCAGAATAATGGTAAATACTATTTTTTTAAGAAAATTAACACAAAAATTTACTGGAGCACTTCCCTATTTGCTAAGGAACCATTTTTATTTTAATTGATTAGTCATCCAATTAATTAATCAATTTAGGTTGGCCTCAAACTTACTTGTATCCTAGTCTGGCTTCCAACTTGCAATCATCATGCCTTACCTTACCAACTACTGGGATTGTAGGCATGTGCCACCATACCTGGAATTTCCATTTTGCCTCAAAGAACTGTGATCATATTCCTAAATGTTTTTCTTAAATCCTAAGGCCTTTTGGTTTTATTTGCTTTACAAATACAATGATAGCCTGAAAATGATTTAATTGACAAGATCCAGAAGTTAAAAAATAAAAAGAATTTTTAATTAAAAAATTACTAATGGAAACAGTCTTGCTCTTGAGAATTTGCATGTGTTTGATTTGAGGAACTAAAGTTATTTTCAAGTATTATACCAAAAACCCTTTTTTCTAGTTTTCTATAATATAAGTCTCATCATTTTGATACTACTACAAAATGTAGGGGAAATACTTTAGAACATTGAAATGGAAAAATATGTTTTTCATAGGAACACAAATGCACATACAACAAAATGTGAATTGACAAATGGGATTTTATGAAACTATAAAATTCAGTATGAAAGAGAGAACAATAAATATAGCACAGATGCAACCTACCAATGTGAGAAAATTATTGAAAAAGTCTGCATATGTCAAGAAGTTAACATCAACAATATACAAGGAACTGAAACAATTCAAAAGCAAAAAGCTAAAACTGGGCTAAAGAACTGAATAGACATTTCCTGAAATAGAACAAATGGTCAACAAATGTATGAGAAATACTTGATATCATTAATTAATAGAGAAATGAAAATCAAAACTACA